AACTGGCGAAGTTATTTTGAAATTGTGTTGTGAAAAGGAAGTAGATAAGGCGTGTGCGCAAGAAACTCACCAAGAACGCATAAAGTTTTGAGAACAAGATGGGACCGCGCAGCAAAAGAGCAGAACTGGGAATTAAATCCTGTGTAACTCTTCAATAAGAAGAATGCTGAAGTGAGTATGATATCGGAGAATAACATATCAAACAACCGCCTTAGGTGAAGTTTCAAATATATTTACATGGTTGTGGCCCGCTATCGTCTACATGGTAATCCCACAGTGAGCCCTCCCATGCGAGATGGGTATGGTGACCAGCATGTCAAGTTATTCGTTGGGCAAAGTGCTGAGGTTTTGGGTCATAATTTGGAATAGTATCGACAGAGCCGGAAGTAAACGTTCTAATCAGTAATTCATGCGAGCTGCTCATATATGTAGTGAAAAACTGTAACACTAATTTTGAAAACAATATGTATTGATTGATCTTATTGTGGATCACCTTTCGGATTAACAAACGAAGAAGCGAACAAAGGTATGAAAAAGACGATAGTAGAAAAGATTAAGTTGGGAAAACATCAGAATCAAATCGATACCATCTTTCTTAAAGTAGGAAATGTGATGTGCAGTAATTATAATTCGTTCAATTAACGCGAGTATAAGCGAACGTAGGCGGAAGGCGACATAGTCCAGAAAACGCTCAGGAAATCTACTTTAGTGACACTTTTTGCCTAAGCAGAATCAGGAAAGGACTCTCTGCTTATAGGCTGGAAAACAAGTGGAAGTGCCACAAGATTTTGAGTGAATGTGGGGGTTTGTCGCCTTTCGCGTGCCTCCTGTATACAGCTGTGCGGAAATTCCTGAGGTGCAATTTAACACTTCATTCAATTTACAATCTGCCGAAAGTGCTTAAGGCAATGAATTTTCCATAAAGCCGGAACTTCCTTTAAGTTTTCGTGATGATCTTGTTAATTCGAAAATTAAATCTTAATACTCGTTTAGGATTTCAGGAAAGTTTCTGTTCATATTTTAGTGGGATTTTTGACGAATTGTATACGTGTCCAGCAGTTCCTACCAGTTTTCATTGCTTCCTTCCAGATTGCTAAGCGTTCCTTACACAGCAAAGAAAACAGATAAAGTAAATTCTCTCAATTATGAAGTAGCAGAAAACAGCATTCTCAGAATTGCCAGACACTTGCGTTAGTGATGATTGATGTGACATTGCCACTTTCAGGGAAGTAAGTTGGTGAGATACAACTTTTG